ATGAGCACGAGTCCATCAAGTTCCCAAGTTCCTCGGTGCCTCTTAGTACCTCCTCTCTCCCGCTCCTCCCTACCCTAACAGACCATTGGTTGCTGGTTTCTAAAACTTTCTATAGTTAGTAAAGAGTGCCTGCTCTGAGCATTGCCCTTGGTTAGAGAACTATTGGTGTGGGAAGAGGAACCCTGGTGGTGCAGCGCTTAAGTGCATTAATGTGAACTGAGGGGTGCCGGTTTGAACCCAGCAGCCTCTTCATGGGAGACCGATGTGGCCTTGGACCTTATGGGGCCGCTCTGATCCATCCCATAGCGTCACTTCAGTTGGGATCATCTTGAAGTGGGCTTATTTATTTGAGGTCAAGTTGACATGGCAGCTTGGAAGCTTATTTGTGACACTTACAGGGTCAGTGAGATTGTGCTAATGCTGGAGGAATCATCTGGAAAATGGAATTGAGACAGATGGTACAATTGGAAGAATGTTGGCAATGTCACTGAAGTGTCAAAACTATTGGATTGGTATGTTTTGCTCTGTATATCTTCACCAGAAAGGAAGTTAGTAAGTTTCATATGAGTGGGATCATCCAGGAGGTATTCTTTGGTGTCCCTGCGTTCAGTCAGCGTCCTTATTCTGTGATTCCTCCGTGCTGTGGCGTTGTATGGACATTCACGTTGTGTCCACATTTCGGCCATGGTGAATAGCGCTGGGGCTCAGGTTTCTCTGTGCTTCTGTCACCTCGTTAGGAAATGTTCCCAGGATGGGATTGCTGGGTCCTCTGGTAGTCCTGGTGGCGCTGTCAGGAAAGCATTGGACTGTCAACCGCCAGGTCAGCAGTTCAAACCCCCAGTCTCCTGGGAGAGAGAAGAGGGTCTCTGCCACCATAAGGATGTGTGCCCCCTGGGTACCCTTCCAGGGGCCGCTGCGGCAGAACGCACTCACTGCCGAGCTTGGCTTTGGGGTGGGAATCCTCAGTGTCACTCCTGAGGAACGGCCTGGCGGGTTTTCAGAGCAGCTGTACCAGTTTGCATTCTCCACATCCTTGACTTGTTTTTAAAGTCTTTGGTCTTGTAGTGAATTGAATGAGGGTGAAGTGGCATCTCATTGTGGTTCTGATTTGGTTTTTATCTCCCTAAGGAAAGAGCCTTGGTACCGTAGCAGGTCAGTGCTCTCCTGCTAACCAAAAGGTTGCCGTTTTGAACCTACCGGTTGCCCCCTGAGAGGCAGATGTGGTCACTGCTCTGTAAATATGCACAGCTTTGGAAACCCTGTGGGGCCTTTCTGCTCCATCCTATAGGGTCGCATTTGATGGCAGCAGATTTGGTTTTTGTTTTTGCTTTAATAAAGTTGCGTATCCTCTAGTATGCTTCCTGACTATTTGCATATTCTCTTTGGTTAACTATCTGCCTAAGTCTCTTGCCCGTATTTGGATTTGGATTGTTTGTCTTTTTCCTGCTAAGTGGTAAGGAGTTATTTATGTATTCTAGATACTAAAACCTGATTGGATATGTGAATCTCTAGAAGGTTTTCCAAGTTTGTCAGCTGTCTTCGTTCTTTTTTTTTTAAAGATCATTTTATTGGGGGCTCTTACAACTCTTATAACAATCCATATACCAGTTGTATCAAGCATATTTGTACATATGTTGCTATCATTCTTTTCTAGACATTTACTTTCTATTGAGCCTTTGGTATCAGGTGTCTCTTTACTTTGGTGATTAAGTCCTTTCATGAATAAGATCTCATCTACGTTTTGTCTTCTGCTGCTTGTGCTTTTGCTGTCATGTGCTGCCTTTTCATTACATAACTATTAATATACAGATGCTTCTTCTTAAAAACAATCAGAATATAACTGTAGCGTA